TGGTAGGCGAGCCGTGGCATTCCTGCGAACCCACTTGCCGACGCAGAAGCCGTCAGCAAAACCGCACAGGAGGCAGGAACTACCGCAAAGGGAATTGAAAACCGGCAGCCAAATGTCACCGCCGCAGTGGGAAGCTACGGTGCGGCTGACCCGGAGCCCGTCACCATCCTGGGCGCGGGCTGCCAACGCAGCCAGGGGAGCAGGAGGGTAGGCGGCATCAGTTGGCCTCTGGCCAGACAAGGGGTGCGGAGGGGGCTGGTCATCAGGACCCGCGTGGCTGCAGCCAGTCCCTGGGTGTCCAGCTCAGGCCTCGCGCTGGCTGCATGCTGGGCTCAGGCCCTGCGCACCCGCTCCACCCCACAGGGCCTCACTGCTGGCCCCCAGGGCACCCGCGGGCCCAGAGATTTGGCCACGGGGAAGTGGCAAATGCTCCCCTGGCAGCACAGGCGTGCGGCCACGGGCGCCCTGCAGGCTGGAGACGTGGCTCCGGGGCCAGATCTGGGGTCAGGGAGGAGGAGGAGACCTGTGCCTGGCAGCACGGTCTCGTGCCACGCTAGGACTGCCCTGGCCCTGCCCCTTGGCACCGCGGCATGACTGTACCCTGGGATATGCTGCCCCAGGTTAGGGCCAGTGTGTTCGCAGCCAGGGCTGGGGGCTGCACTGGGCAGGTCTCCTGCATGGATCCCAGCGCCACCCGCGCCCGGCCCCGCGCTGCCATAACCCCGGGACGGGCGGCCGCTAACCCTCCTCTGCCTGCCTCCTGCGGGTCCTGGCCTGGCCCCACAGCCCACGGTGGCACCGGACCCCCCGAAGAGCTCAGTGGGGTCAGGGTCGGGGTCATGCTGGGGGGCCCGAGGCCTGGCAGCAGCCTCAGCCCCAGCCCCAGGGTAGGGCCAGAAAGTCTCCGCGTGGCCCCCCAGGCTGAGCAAGGGGCAGGGCAGGGCAGGGCAGGGCAGGCACCAGGGGGGCAGCGAGCTGCAGCCAGTGCCCGCGGCCCCTCCAGGGCATCAAAGGAGCCTGTGGGCAGCCCTTGGCCCCCGGCAGCAGCAAGGCCTGCCCCCCCCAGCCTCTGGCCCGCGGCCTCCCCCGCAGCTTCCCCTGCGCGGGGACGGTCCCGCGCCTGCTTCCCCTGCGCTTCCCTGGAAAGCAACTCCACGGGGCAGTCCTGCCGAAAGGGCAGGCAGCCCCCGCCTGAGTCACGGGTCCCAGCGGCAGGGCGCCGGCCCCCGCCCCACTCCCTGCACCGGGGGGGGCAGTTGAAGCCCCCCCAGAGGCACTAGGGCTGGAGCCCAGGCTGGGAATGGGCTGCGCCAATGCTGCCGGCATCAACCCTGCAGGGTCCCGGCTGGAGGGTCTCGCCCCTGCGCCCAAGCTCAGCCCCGCTGCACTGGGGCAGGAAGGGGTTTGCCCCTGCTCAGCCTGGGGGGTTCCCCTTCCTCAGCAGCGGGGCGCCTGGGCTCCCTGCAGTGTCCGTGACCCCCACGGCAGGAGCAGGACACTGGTGGCCTTGGTCCTCCTGCTTTCTTGGGGGCAGGGGCAAAGCCTGGGGCTGTGCCAGGGGCGGCTGTCGTGCGGCTCTGAGGTCAGACACGGGGTTTGTCTGGGCTGGTTTAGACAGGGCTGATCCTGCCCCGGGCAAGACTGGTACTGCATGCGACCCCCCAGCTCCCTGCCAACCCCTTGGTTTTGGGATCCTACAAAAGGCACTGGGAGTCATGGCACAAAGGACCCCAGCCCCAGACTTATCGTGCCCCCAGGTTAGTCCCCCCCCAACCCTGGGCTCCCCCGATGCCTGGGGCCAGCAGGGCCGAGCGTGTGGGAGGGCAGGTAAGAGCAGTCAGAAAACTGAAGTCACAGAAAAACTTTATATACAAGAGGCCTCTGGCTGGGCCCCTCCCTGCCCCTGCAGCCCCAGCCCCCTGGCCCTCCGACAGACCCACAGCTTGGGGCACGGCCCGCAGAGCCCACACGCCCAGCAGCACCACGCGACCCCACGGCGTCTGGGGCAGCCTCCGTCTCCGTCCCCGTCCCCAGGCGGCCTGACGATGGGGCAGCCCCAGCACCAAGCAGACACCGCCCACCACTGCCCTCAGCCTCAGTCCCCGCCACGCCGCGGGGCCGGGCTCCGGCCACAGACGCGGGGGAGGACAGCCGGGACACGACAGCAGCCCCCAGCTGCCAGCCACGGGCCAGGGTCCAGCGGCTCTCGGTCACTGCAGCGTGCACACGTCCTGGTCCCTGTCATCGTCCTCCTGCAGGGTGGCTGCAGCCCCCTCCTGCGCTGGGTCGGGGGCCTCTGGCGTGGCCGCCTCGGCTGCCAGCTGCTCCCGCA